GGAGGGTGTGGGAGGGGGGGGGAGGGGGGGGGGGGGGGGAGAAATGGAAAACCTTAATTCCCTCCGTGGCTCTTCGCCAGAACACCCCTGCGAGGAAGGCCGGCTGGCTGGTTTAGGGGTTTGTTTATTATTAATGGTAAATGTTTTATTCATTCATTTATTTATTTATGTAAAATATTTTAATTTTATTTATTTATTTGTTGAAAATATTTATTTGTTTATTTATTTAAAATTATTTAACACTCCTGCGAGGAAGGCTGGCTGGTTTACGGGTTTGTTTATTATTAATGGTAAATGTTTTATTTGCTTATTAATTTATGCAAATATTTTAATTTTATTTATTGAAAAGATTTATTTGTTTATGTAAGCTATTTATTTATTTATTTAAACCATTTATTTATTCATTTATTTATACCCCGCCTTCCTCCTCCTGAAAAAAGGACCCAAGCCGACTTACATCCTCAAGACGAGGACAATATTAAAAACAAACAAACAGAAATTACGCAAAGATTAAAAAGGACTGAAATGGGCCTCGTCTTGGAAACGGTAAATCAAAGCAGTGCTAAAAACTTAGTGAAAAGCAGCTCCTCGCAGGCAGCCAGGCAGCCGCTCAGGGAAAGCCTGCCTGGAGAGAAAGGTCTCTTTGCCTGCTTGCGGAAGGTTTTGTAATTGAGAGTATTTGCAATCTTTATATCCCCGCCTTTCCTCCATGGGGCTGAAGGCGTCCTCAACACCCCTGCGAGGAAGGCCGGCTGGCTGGCCCACAGCCTTTCCAGTGGCTCAAGATGCTGCCGCCTTGACTGCATTTCCTTTACCCGCCTTTTCCTAGCTTGAAACGAAGAAGAAGACAGCTGTTCTTTCAAAAAAAGGTTACCAGCACACACGACGTTGCCTTTCCTGGTGCGACCTGGATGGGCCAGGCTGTACATGGCAAGGGTCCCCTGCATTCATGCTCATTCATTTATAGGCACGTGTGCATTTGATTCAGGATGTTTTAACCTCTCCCCACGCCTGTCCCATTTTCAGTCCTCCTCTCTGGAGGAGAAGCCAAAAGGTACAGAAGGATCGCACTCTGACCACAACCGCGGGTCCCCAGATTTTCTTGGACTGTTGCTCCCGGAAATCCTAGCCAGGTCAGCCTGTGGTGAAGGCTCATGGGAGTTGCAGTCCAAAAACAGCCGGATCACCCAAGGTTGGGAAACACGGCTCGAGGGGGGAAATGTCAACAGCCTCAAAAGGAAAAGGCAGGGGTGCAAGAGGGAGATTTACTTTAAGAGCAACAAAGAAAAATTACAGATGGGTGGTGGTGGATAAGGATGACCAGAAGGCACGAGTTCATATGAGAGCGATGGGGCTTGTTTCTCTGCATCACAGGCCAGTTGTAAGGCTGTGTTGTATGAAAGCTAGCAGAGCGTAAGAGGCTAATGCTGAGCTTAAGGCTATTGAGTAGAAGTGAGTGCTTGGGGATCTTGCACCTGGCCAGAAATAAGAAAATGAGACTGTGCCGGAGAGAGGCAGACCTAAAGCTGCCCCCTCTGTTTATTTAGTTAGGCATCCTTCAGTCTCGAAAGACTATGGTAGCGTGCTCTGTATGGAGGGCTTGGAACAGCGCCTAGTGTGTCTGAGAAGGCCAATTCGAGAGTGACAGTCCCTTCCACACTGAAGACAAATCCAGTCTGTCCCCTGTCCGGCTCCCTGGTTTTGCTGCTTTTGTGACTTCCTCTTTGCCTCGGCCTGCTGGGCAAGAGTCTCTTCAAATTGGGAGAGGCCGTGATGCAC